GGTTGGGGGGAGGCGCTCGGGCCCCGGGCCCCTCCCCCCGCCGACGCTACCTCCCACGGGACCCTCCAGAGGGCCCGGAGGGGGCTCCCTACGAGGGAAGGCCACGGGGGCAGAATACGAGGGAAGGCCACAGGTAAGGCCACGGGGTAGGGCCCTAGGGAAGGACACGAGGGGAGACCACAGAGAAGGCCACAGGGGTAGGGCCCTAGGGAAGGCCACAGGGGAAGGACACGAGGAGAGGCCATACGAGAGAAGGCCACAGGGGAAGGACACGGGGGAAGGACACGAGGGAAGGCCACAGGGAAGGCCACGGGGGAAGGACACGGGGTAGGGCCCTAGGGAAGGACACGAGGGAAGACCACAGGGAAGGCCACGAGGAGAAGCGATACGAGAGAAGGCCACAGCAGGGGAAGGCTAGGCCACGAGGGAGGCCGCGAGGGAAGGCCACCATGGTAAGTCACGCCCGTTACGGGGAAGGCCAGGGGGTAAGTCAGAGGAAAGGCCAGGGGAGGCTGGGGGGTGGTGGGTCAGCTAAGGGATGGTAAGGAGTGCGACCAAGGTGATGCCCAGGTGGACGCGGGCGCGGGGTGCGCGATGCGAGCCGCCTATACTGCAAAGGGGGTATGAGAACGACTAAAAGCCGGGGGCTGGGCTCGGGGCTGGGCTTGGTTGGCTTGGTGCGCGACTGCCGCGAGCGCCCCACGCTGCTGGCACGCAGGCTGGCCGCGCGGCTCGATACGCACTCACATTGCGGGAGGTCGCCTGGTCCCATTAGATGGCTCCCCCCCCGCCGCGCCAACCGGCGCCACTTCATAAAGCGCAGAGCCGCACATTTTTAAAAAAATAAATAAAGGCATGAATGAACGAAATAAAAAAGAGCAGCGCGACAATTATTCACTTTTCCTCGACCATTCCCGTCACGCGCGCCGCGCGCCCTCGCGCCTTTCGCTTTCATACACAAACACACACGCACGCGCTGTGGGCTGGCTGGACCCGGAGCATTCAAATATTTGGGGTCGTTTGGCAGTTGGTGTGGTTAACCTTGGAGTATAGAGCTCTCCGAGCTCTCCTTAGCCTAGCCAGGGCAGGCCATATGGGAGAGGCGCAGATTACAGATTAAAGGGGCATTGTGATGGCGACAGGCTCCCCTTCACTCGCTCCTTACACATAGTCGCACTAATGATAAGAAACGTCATCGGAGAAACACTGCACACCAGGTGGCGGATTAGCACACTTCTGTAGTTATACACTGTGGACTGTAGCGCCCGCGAGCGGGCGGGCTTGCTTGCCTAGTCGCCCCTGACCACGGAGCCTTACGACCCGGCGACCGTGTAGGCAACGCCGTCCCGCAAGCCTGTAAGAATGCGGTACGTCACACTACAATAAAAGCAAAATAAAGGAAGGGGTCTGTGAACGACCCTCTAAAATAATTGCATAAGAAGCCCGCGGAAACACATGTGACGCAGGAGCTTCATCTTCGGACTTTCATATCTTTCTTATTAAATTTAACAATAGAACATTTAAATTAGTTGAAAGTACTCGTGCATCGCCAGCATCTTTGGCATGCTCCCCAGGGCGGCGGGGGAGGGGCGAGGCGGGGGAGGGGCGAGGCGGCGGAGGAGGCGGCGGCGGCGGCGCGGCAATCGAGCGAGAAAAGTTAGAAGCGGCCTTAGAGGCTGCCGGCCGGGCGCGGACGGATAACGCTGGACGTGCTGATAGTCGCGGTGTGATCGGGGGTGGAGGGGGTGGGGGGAGAGAACGGCGAGGGCAATAACCATGTCGCTTCGCTCGCTTCGCTCCCAGCGCCTGCGCCCGCACACCAGATAAAAACTTTTAATAGAGCGCTCATTACTACTCCGGACCGCCCCGCGGCTACAATATTTCATGCATAACATTAGGGGATGGGGTAAAGGGTAGCGGAGTTTGCCGCGCGCCTCCCCCCTCCTCCGCGGGCGCGGACCCCGCCGCGCCCGAGCCGACGGGTGTGGTGTCCCGCCGAACACCGATGCCGTTGGGTTGCCTACTCAGCAGAGCTAAACAAAACACGCCAGACCCTGCTGCTCCCCGACCCCGACCCTCCCTATGCGTTTTTCGGCTGATGTGACGTGTAGCCATCGGGCTTACATGATGGACCAGTGCCAGTGTGAAATATCAATTTGAAAGGACTGTTCGCGCATACGCAATGACAAGTAAGCAGTAAACAGAGATGAGAACGGTGTTTTCCCCCAACGGAGAAAATGATTGGCGTGTTCAAGTACAAAGAACACGCGCTAACGTAGACAATCTACTTCAACTCCAATATCCATCAGCG